ATACAGAACACTTGGTTGAATACAAATGTTCTATAGTACAACTTATATTTTATGCAACAGAAGTACTTAAGAATGCATAAAATAATCATAACTATGTCCTACTTGAATAATGTTGATCAACGAAAGTCAATGCGAACCCTAGACGAAGATGAAATGTATTGCAAACTAATCTTATTTTCGTATAATAAAAATAAGCACATTCAGTTTTTTATTTTGTTCTATACTTTGAATTCGTTATCCAAGAGAGACAGATACAGCAGTCAATCAAAAAAAAACAATTGTCAATGTTATTATTCATCTACAGAAAGAAATTCCAACAGATGAATTTGTTGATGTAATTAAAGAACAATGACGAGATAAACAATGTGCTAAACACAATGAAGCTCATATTTATACTAAGCTATCATCCTAGATGTTTCAGACCGACGTTGTGAGTTCTATTGCCGCCATACTACGATCAAAAGAACCAATTCTGTAGAATAAACAGATATAAATATCGATTGGACACATGAATACTATACTAACTATCAAATCCGTATAAAAATCAAACTCTTTATTATTTCATTGTTTGGCAATTTCGCGAATTTCTCTCGATCCCGCAAGTTTGTTAATTGTAGAATCTAATTGAAGAAATTTCATACTGAGAAGCATGAAAATAGACTATATATACTTAAAATGATGTAAATATTGAAGTTGTTCATCGGTAAATTTCTCTTCGAATTTCGCGAGTCCTATATAAGCCTAGCCACTTTATGAATGTTGTTAGAAAACAAATATTGTCTCGAACGAAAGTGAATTTCAGATTCATTTAAGTGCCGATAGAGTTCAGATTTAACATTGTTTGCTGTCATCCTTTAATTTACAGATAGGTAAACAAAAGGTTTTGTTTCCTTTCGAATCATAATTAAGCTTTTCAGGCCCATGGCTCAATCAATGGATGAAGTTTCTTTGAGATTTTATGTTTAAAATGGACACTGTATTATGCATACTTTCATCCAGACTTTTTTAAATCTTCAAAGTCATTTTTCGACAGAACCCTGCACTCCTCTACGGGGATGGCAAAGACATATTTTTGAATATTTCTGTGGGGGAGTACGAGTATGGGTCAAAATTCGATTGAAAGCTGTCAGAAAATCAACCTTTGAAATATCACTAAGTGTCACTCCTAACTTGATTCCAACACGGAAAACCGAAATATTTTGATAACCGTACAGGGCATTATTCGTCCTTCTCTTTCTTAGAATGGGGTCGGCGGTCCGAAATTCCACCAAACTGACTACCTGAAGGACCTTATTAGGATTAGAAATCTTATATAGATGTATGCTCCGTAGTCTCTTATATGTTATAGAGAAAACCGCATCTCAATATCTTTGTGCATTTGCGAGTTATTAAAATATTTGAAAACTTAAAAAATGTGTACCTTATAAGGTATACTGGCCCTCAGAGGGTTAAAGAAATCGTTGATTAGTTAGAAAAAAATATTTGTTGGGCTGTTATTTAGAGATCGCTGATTTTTCCCTTTGTCATTCTTAAAACTCTATTAAAATCAAGCATTCAGTCTATCTAAGATTATCCGCATACTCATAGTAAAAAATAGATCTGTGGCAGCTCACGGCTCTAAGAACCTAGTTTTTTAATGATAGCTGGATCAAGCGGCCAGTTCTTTTCATATGCACTCGATGTGCTGAAAATGAGAGCGAAGCAACGCTAATCATTACTTGTTCCATTTGTCAAAAACAACTGGTCGCCAGCATCAGTTTCCATTCTTTTCACAAGAGCTGGATGAATGATACAATTTCAGTTGTTTGATAGCGAACTGTACAGATCTGGTAAGAAACGATTTAAGCATACTGAACAAAAAAAATATCTTTTCATAGAAACCATCTTTTTTCTGTGAGATTCATTTTATGTAGGAAAAAACTCCTGAGAAAAAGATAAAATTAATCAAAACCCAATTTTATTCTCCAAAGAAATCAGTATTGCCAACGTCTATCATGAGTATTTTTTCCACTGATTGTTTATATTAACATTATATTTTTCAGGTCAGAAATGACATTATCTTTTGCATATTAAGGCAACAAATAGATAAGCCAGCTCATAATGGCCTTCAAGGCTTGCTGATTTTTGCAATTAACATACATCACCAAATTCTAATCAATGGACAAACTAATATGAGTTCTTTCCTCGGATATGAAGCATTTAAATTTTAAGTGTTTGTATGAAATGACAAACTAAATCGCTTGAGTAGACTATGACATGCATTTTCAGTTATATTTCAATACGATTTCTATGCAGAAGGGCTAGAGTTTTATGAATCTAGTTAATCTCCAATGAATTCGACAATGAGCAAAAATAATTTTTCTCCTATCTGTTTTCACTAATGCTGTAATGTTACTAAAAGCAATCAAGAATACAAGACGTGAACGATACAAGACAAGATTAATTACTATTATCATTAGCCTAACAAAATGAGAGATAAAGCTTATTCATGTTACGGACAACTAACTTGTAGCATCACCAGCAACTAATTCGCGGTTGATAACACAAAGTCATCATAAAAAATCACTTAGGGCAGTTGTATTAAAGATATACAGTCATCTATTGATTCCTTTTCTTTCGATGAACAATTTTTACATCAATTTATATATATATATTAAACCTGTACATTGGAAGACATAAATCGTTAAAAAGATGGACATATCAAGTTTTGTTTCATGCACAAAAGCAGCAGACGTAATATATCCTTTGTTATACATGTATACGAGCATTTCTCGTTGGCACTAATATCAGCTGGCTAATGAAGAAGAGAAAAAGCACCTCTGTTTATATGAATAAAGAGAATATGCTGCGCTAATATATTTGATATGTATTATGTGTATGATGCGTTAGTCAATAAAGCAAGATACGTCGTGCATTTCTTTAAATTAATTTTGCTATTTTCTATGACGTGGAAATCTACAGTTTTCTTCATTAAGTTTCTGAAAACTTTTCTTCTATTCTGCATAAATATATGTAAGTGCTTTCTGGTTCTTTGGAATCATTTTTAAATAAATACGGCAGAGTCAAAGTTAACTGACGATTTTTCTTTCCAGAAAACGTGAAATCTAGATCTCTGCATCTAAGACTCACACCCTTAAAAAGGTGATTCTATTTGACGAGTACAAATAATACTATATATTGGATTCGATAATTTATCTATTGGCTCTTCTATACAAATACCAAGGCTACTTGATAAGATCTAGCAAAATCGAAATGCCACCTACTCAAAAAGCTATATACACCCTATTAGTCATGGAAATCTTTGATTGAACTTTTTATATATTAATTTTCATCGACAGATGTAGACATATAATTGTACAATAGTGATTTCGTACTGTTAATTCAATTATTTTGAAAATTATATCTGCAACATAAAAAGAAGATCATGGTATCAGCACAATTCAAACATACATAATTAAGGTTGACAAATTACTCTAATGATAAAAAATCTTCACAAACAATTCTTTCTCGGTACAGAAACCTATTTTCGAATTACACCAACACCTAAATTCACAGTCGCAGTCACACTCGCACTCTCTTTCGACCTGTTCATCTTAACAGTTTCAATCAAGGGGTCAATGCATAATATTAGGAAAAATCGTTTTATTTTATGCTTGCTACATTTAGTCAATTTAATTGTCAAAAATAATGTTTATTTTTATTTTGATAAAAAAATTGTCCTCTCCTTTGAAGACGTATCTTTTTTTTCTCGAGTTTAAAGCACAAATAGTCACGTAATTAAATTAGTTTTTAATACTCAAGTTTGAATTCATACATCTATCTAAACATCTATAACCATTTGTGATATAACAAGATCATAATACTTCATTATCTTCTTTCCTTTTGATATTTTATAGACATTTAGTCAGTGTTCGATTCTCTATCAAGTTTGGACGATTTGTTGTCGATGTTCAAAGTCACAACTGTGCACCATTCTTTTGAAGAGCAGCCTGAAACAAGAAAATTATGACACATGAAATTTAACATGAAGTCAGTGTGAATTCGTTTCCAAGATCGATCAGAAACATTCTACTGCAGCAGCGAAGTCTTTTCTGACTTTTCCACAAACTTCACACAGTGCCGATATTGACAAGCCATACCTTCGATATTTTTATCTGATGAAATTCAACAGAAATATTGACAAGCTTCTGTCATTATTCAGGCTCGTTAGACAGACTCTATTTTTTTGAACCAAATGAAACGAAACAAATGAATAGTTTATTCAATAAAATTATAGAATTGATATAACAAGAAGAAAAACAAAATCAAGAATGATCTTCTTCTTTATTAGAAGATGATGTATAGAACGAAAATGTTGTTAAATTAACGGAAAAAAGAAGACGAACTGATAAATGATAAAAGAAAAAATTAAAGACGAACAGAAAGAAAAGAAAGAATAAAGAAAAAGAAAAGAGAATACCAAGTAGTTCTTTATGTATAATGACTGAGGAATAATCTTCACTTGCTCATCATGTAGCAGAGACATCTCTAAATGGATCGAGTGTAAATGATTAAGAAGACAATCCTTAAAACAGAGGACAATTGTTCTATTAAGACCTCTAAGAATGCATCAATGTGACGTGGAAAGTTAATCATTAAATATGAAATATAATTGAAGATTATGTGAGCATACCCGTTTTGCTATATGTCAGAAGACAATGTGTATGAATATGAAAAATCTACATAAAGGTCTAGTTATTTCTAAACGATCGCTATCTCCTCGAGGATATGATGAGTCTAAACTTCTCTGTCTGTACTTTTAACAGTTCTGTCACACAAATGAAAAATACCAATGACATTTACTCGAAGTCAACTAACTTCGTATTAAATAAAGAAAAAAGAATGTGATATCAATCCATGAAATCTATAACAACCATTATATAAAACGCATATTGATTAATTATGTATTGAAGTTTATGAGAATTTAAAGTGCATTCTTGAAAATAAAGATATTATCGTACTCAAAAATGTACTACGTTGAATGAGGATCGTTGTGAAAGTCGTGAAACTTTACGAGTTTTAGTTGAATGTGTTGTATCCGAAGGATTTTGTTCGATTGACGAAACCTTTCGGCGTATTAGTTTAAATAGAATATCTTTTATGAGAAGCCTTCTCGTCCATGCAAATAATAATAATGATAGAATACTAATAGCTGCAAATGTAACAAATAATCCACCGATTGTTCCAATGCCCACAGAAATATCACTCAATATACTATATGAAGCAGGACATTTATTTGTTTGAAACCATTTCACTTTTAACCGATCAAGACTACCTGATTCTCTCAGTGATAATATATTTACATCTAAATCTTGCTCATATAACCAATTTTTACGGAAAACAATGCCAAATACACTGTTATCGAAACCTGCTCCAACCAGAGTTAAATTACAATATACATTATCAGTTATATATTCTGCAGCACCGACATCCATTAAAGTTGCATCGATGACACCACTCAGTAGACTGTCGTATTGTTCTTGTTGAGATTTCAATGGATAAAAATTTCGACTTTGTCGAGAAATTTCTTGTAAATAGTAATCTTCACCAGCTGTACCTATACGAATACCTATGTGACTAAATGGTAGCTTGCCCTTTTTGATGTCATCAATTCCAGAAATGATATTCGCGGATTTAGATATTGTTATATTAGACATTAAGTTCGCAGTATATGTTGCTACTAATACTAAACTTAAAACATATAGACCAACAGTTAAGAATCGTCCAGCTGCTGTTGAAGGTTGCATATCCGCCCCATATCCCATAACATTACCAATAGAATACCATATACTCATTGCAAGTGATGAAATGATTGATCTATCTTGTAATGATTCGTTATCTTGTCGTTCTAGTAGATACACCAAAACAGAAGCATAGATAACAGATATCAAGACAACTATCCAGAGTTTCAATGAGAATGGCTTCAGATACGATATGAGATTTACATCTTCAGGAAGTGTGTCTCGCATAACGATACATAAAGAATTATCAAATATTGAATTCGAAAAAGAGACAATTTTTCTTCGTTTAGCCGTAACTGTGACATCACCTATCACCAAATCGTACAAGCCATTTGCAACTGAATCAATTAATCCATCATAGGTTTGATCTGAGGGTGCTAATATAACTTCAGGAATAAAACCCATTCTTGTTTGTAAAAGATCAATAAGTTCAGGTATATAGCCAATTAACTTTGTTGTGGTTTGTCCTTTTTCATCTACTATATAACTGATCATTGTGAATGGAGATGATTCAATAACACCGATTCGTAAGTTGATACTTGAAAGTACTGCATGACTAGTAGGTGGTACTGATGAGTTACCAGGCCACACAATAACATTTGATAATGCATATTGTGTCCAATTGCTAGAATCAGACCATTTCAATATTGGTACATAGACTACACCATTCGAAGAAGGTTGAACATTTTGTATCAAAT